ACGGCAGGAAGCTGTGGGCCTTGATATTACTGTGAATAGGGGGTATTCTGGTAGATGTTTGCGAATTTACATAGTATGGAAATACTGTTTTCCTCCTATATATTTCCCGAATTACATTTGACATTGTATAACAAGATGGATAACGTCATTAAACTGCAGCGGTTATGCCCAGCTTGTGAGCGGTGGCTGCCAGGTGTTGAATTGTTTAACGTCTCTGTTCCTTGTTTTCTGCTTTCGGCATAAGTTCAGCTGGCCGAGCTCCCATTTGCGTCTCTGTGTGCGTCAAATGGGTTTGCAGGCGTAATCAGGCGCAAATTAATTCCAGTCCGACTGTCACGATCGGTGAGGTCTAGTGTACACCACAGCATGGTGGAAGCGGACACGGTGACTTTCGCGTCAATTAGCATATAATGACAGCTGACTTGCACGACGTTTGTGGCACAGCTTGCATGATCACTCTGCTGTGTCCTGTTGTAAACCTTATTTGGGTCGACCGGGGACGGACTCGGGTAAACTGTTTGACACGGCTAACCAATCTGTCTGCACGTTCTACACACGACCCGATGTGCAAGTAATTCACCAGATACCTTGAAGGAACATGCGTCATATTTTCTTACACTTACCGTAGATTTTAGTGACCCAAGTGGTCCCACTCGGTGATAAATTTCAGTGGGTAGTGTGTACAGTTGTGTGTGCGTTGATGCTCCTGGCACTGATTCAAATCTCTGCTCGATAGAGACAGTAGACGTTTTGAAAACGGAGAGCCGGTTGAGCTCTCTGGACCGTCAGCGTGAATTAAAACCGATTTCGAGGAACTACTTTTAGTTCTCAGATTTTCATCCCAAAACGCTCACTTTTGCTTAGCTAATCCTATTAGTCCCAAACGTGGGAGGGATTTCAATCCGCACTCAAGGACAGAGAGTAGATCCAAGGAGAAATTAAAAAACAGGAAGTATCCGTTAGCATTAGTCGAATATCAAATATTGGTGACTGAAATTTGAATTCCGGGATCTTCCTCAAGCTTAAAGGCAACCAGCGCGATTACATAGCTTATTCCGAGCCAACGACTTTGACGGAAATGGTGGTTATATAGGTTTTGGGGGTGGGAAAATAGGAGAGAAATTAATGCAAATTTGTAAAGTGGAAAAAATGTAGTTTAATTTGTTTCCCGCGGCCGCTGGAAGTATGTTGCGCATGTTAATTTAATGTGTGCGCGGTGCTCGCACTTATCTAACTCCACAACGGTAATTGGACCTCAGGTAAGCTCAAGTAGATGACTTCCTAACCACCATTTCTATATTTTCTGGAATTTCAAGAAACCTGCATTTTTTCGCAATCAGTTAAATGATAATACAGTTTAGGAAAATATACAGATATAAATCAACAAAATTTCTAAATACCATTAAATGAAAATTAATATAACAGTTATTAAAGTATATTGCACTGTCTATCCTAATTGTCTACCCATAAAACCTCTATAATCACCATTTCCGTAGGACAGAATGCTGGGACTAGGGGTATATGAGGTGCACTACTTAAAATACTGTTGCCGGGATTTATGTGGGAATCCTCAACGTAGGTCCATAAGATGTACTTTTAATGTAACTTTTTTTTTCTTTGTCCATGAGCATCCCCTTGGGTAGGTGCTATTTACTCGTCCGCTCCAAACCAGTTAACGTTTTTTTCACATGGTGTGAAAGCTGAGGATTCCGATACATTTCAGTACTTCCTTGTCCGGAATCCTCTCTTGCGACCCCAAGGTGGGGGTGGATCGACTTCCTGGCTTAATTGGCCTAGACAGTGCGCGACTCCGTCTCCCATTGTCGTGTCGTCAGGACGTTGTCCTTTAAATCTCGAGCCTGGTGTTGAGGCTGAGATGGACGGCCAATACTCACTGCTCAACACTCGCTGCGTCAACGTCATGTGTCTCAACAGGCAGCTATTTCCCACTGGCCAACCTCAAGACCTTTCACTGACATCCTCGCACACATACACGTGCGCACACAGGCACGCATACACGCGTGGCCAACAGTCGTGGCTGCCTGAGGACCACTGGAACATGCCACCCCTAAACCAATGCAACGTTGGCCACTAGACGTGAGACTCCCTTCGGACAATGCAACACACAAATCATAATCCATTTGAACTCGTTTCAAAATTGTGTAAAAGCAACTGTCGTCACTGGCAGCACACTCAAACACACAGTCAGACACTCGGGCACGACTGGTCGCACTGAACAACAGCCCTGACTTCTCCAGCGGCCACTGCTACCTGAGACAGCAGGGCAGGGTTCTGTGCACAACAAATCTTTCATTCTGGTGACTGCTGCCTTTAACTTACAACTCTGGAATTTGATATGATTGTACCGTTCCGAGCACAAACACTGCTTAAGTGTTACAAATTGGAATGAGGGGGAATATCTCGTACGCAGAAGTGATGCGATATGTTTGGGCTGCCCATTTTAAGAATTGTGTATACAGCGGCATTTGATCTACATTGACGGTGATTTGAGATTCTTGGCAATCCGTGCATGATGCCGGTTGATGCATGACCATCGTCTTCTTCGCGTTGATTGTGTTAGTAGCCAGAGGCGGAGAGGTTTCTTTTCACTCGCCTGGTCACCCCCCTCGTTGAATTCACTGCAAAGTCGGCGACGAACAGAAGGTTGGGTATGCTGGTCAGGGATAAACTCGAGCCTACTAACATGAACCGCGCGTTGAGCAGTTGTCAGAAAAGCCGCACCTAAGACGTC